CGTCTTCTAGACGTCCCAAAGCACTTCACAGAATATACTGTAAAGTGAATTGACTGTATATTTGTGAGCGAACGCGGCAGCCAATTGCGCACAGCATTTAGCCATGAAGGCATCAAATAGCCATGAAGTGAACGATCAGTTTTATCTGGGAGATTTAAAGTGAAGTACATAATAGTACAGTTATAGAACATAATAGTACTAAACTAGCAAGCAGAGCACATCATAAAGAGCTCTTATTATTGTAAAGCTCTTGATCTGCTTTGTCAGCTAATTCACACTCATAACGTTTTTTGCACAGCTCCTTCCAGCTCCCATTTTTCAGGCATATAGCATAGCAAGTAAAATGAAACAAGATTCAATATAAATACAAGCTTATCAAACAGAGCATTTTTCCCATTTTTTTTCTTCTGTTCCTCTCTGAAGCTACTAACTCGTGTTGAGATATAAATACATTCATCTCATTTATGAGGCTGTAGGTATAACAGCTTTACAACTGGGAGGGGTTCCAATATTAGCATCAAGCATAGCAGAGTGGAGTTTTTCCTGGTTTGCCCCAACAATATTCCTCAGACTCAAACTCGAAAAGAGCACCAATGTGAATTTTTTTCATCTTGCAGACCCTCTGAGCAAGACTGCCAACTGAAGGCCAAATTATGGATCTGTGCTGTGGGAAAATGCTTACTATGAAATGGAATAAAACTATCTTCAGTCCCATTGAAACATGTTTTTTTGTTCCCCAAAGAAGCCAAGTCATGTATTGCAAACTACAAGGGAAGGCCCATGAAATTCCAAACCTCATTCCACATGCAGAGTGAGCCAATTATTTTAAGCAAATATTTGCACTGATGAATCTTGTTTATAGATTCTGAAGGTTATTTTTAATTGTTAAATTGTTCTAACCAGACAACCTAGCTCCCAGGCAGGACCTCATGTCTAACTGTATATGAGTAAGATTTACTGGCATCAAGAACAAGCAACAAATTGCCCTCTGATATCAGTAGTGCATCATGTCTGAAAGTAATGGACCAACCAAATAAAGGAACAAATGCTCATCTGATTTCACTCAACCACTTAACTTGTTTATTACAGTTCAACCCTGTTTAAACAATTTTGTTGCTGAGAAACAATTGATGTTTGCTTCTCAGTATAAACATAAAGCCTGGAAAATACTGTAAGACTCAAAAACTATTTGGAAAGTCTTCTCAAAGTGTCAGCAATCATCATCGTCACCATCTGGATTTTCTAACTATTCTTACAGTACAGAGTACAGGCAAAATCTAGCAGCACATAGAATATTGCAATGTTTCCATACTTTGAAGAGAGCTATAAGCTTCCATCTAGATTCAGTCCCAAGTTAAAGCAGTTCTGCTCGATTGGCTCATGGGATAGATGCAATGTCACTGTAGCATTGAGCCATGCCAATCTGGAATCAATACTGAGTTTGTTCTGGTTTAACTGATCTCTGCCAAGGTGACAATTATAGGAGGGGCTACAGTTGGCTTCAGTATCCTGGTGCTAAGAATACAAAATGTTTCTGATCTTGATCAGGGCCATGATTCCCTACAAAATATACAGTCACTACACTAATCTTTTGAAGCACTTTGAGATGTCCTCCCCATGTGAAAGGTTGTATGTCAAATACAAGGATTATTTTATATGTGAAATAAAGCAAATTAAAATGTAAACAATACAAAGTAACAGGTAAGGTGTGGTAAGTGCGGGAAATGTACCTTAATTTGAATTAACCATTCAGAAGAAGCTGGTTCCCTTTCACTAGATCTCATCGATTGAACTTTCAGCCAATGAGACCACCAACCAATCAGAATCAGCACTGTTTTGTAATTTATTAATAGTTAAATACAGTTCCCAGAGGAGACCTTATGTAGGTACAGAAGTATCTTCACATTATAGGGAAATTGTGATGGCTGGTTACTGGTGTTAAGTTGTCAGTGTGAAAATAAAGGACCTCACAAGCAGCATGGCCAAAAGTGAGCTCAAATATCCCATTCCGATTAGGGAATTGAATCCAGTTACAAGGCCAGAACACTGCTTCACTACATTCTTTTAGAAAACAAAATTAGTTAACATAATCGAAAATATTTAGTGTACATGAGGGAGAAAAATGCAACAGTGATGTTATCACATTGAACAAAAATGTTTTACTCCTGAGACTAGTGGTAACTGTTGTCTGACTGTGACTGCATTTTTGGTCAACGGGATAATTATCACATGTGATAAAATCACATGTCGCATTTTTCAGAGGGAGAAATTTCACCTGGGACGAGATTTAATCTGTTTTCCTAACATTTCATAGAATCCAGGATTTGGGAATTTCTCAATAGGGTCTTAATTGTGAATCTGTTTCTCTGTAAGTTTTTTTAAAGAACCGAGAGAAAACCACCATCAAAGTTAAGACTGTGTTCAAGAATTTGCCAAATTCAGCACATTTTAAAATGGTCAGATAATGTCCTCCTGATGTGAAAGGCGCTATACAAATATAATTTTGTTGCTGTTGTTGATAAAGTAAATTTAGATCCAGGTGGAATTTCTACCACTATCTTAAATAGTGTTTTTTTTAGGGATTTTAATCTTCTATTTGTAATGTTGATCTGTCTCTGGTTAGCTTTCTGGAACTCATCTCAGATGCCATCCTCATATCAGCTCCTTTCGTCTTTCCTCCTCCTAACAATGTGCTACGAGTCCAATTACAATCAACTGAAATCCGCCAATTCAGCTCAAGTGATTTTTCTTATTACAAGACCTATAGAGTCTTTGAAGGCTAGAAACTCAGACAAAATAATACATGGTATAAAAATTCTCAATTTTGTACATCTGTGGAGGATAATAAAGATGCTCACTGCACAGGTGATTCACAACGTATTGTGTATGAACTGTACCATTAATATACAACATTGATTCAAAAAGAGTTATCTGTAAGTATAAGGCACTGCTATGTAATTCATCAAGAGTTAAACACATTTCTCAGACGAAACCTTATATAGGTACATAAGTCACTTCACATTATTGGGAAAGACCCCAACACAAAGTTATACCAAGGCACTGGGACAAGAGGGCACAGGTTGTATTGTAAAGCATTGTAAAGGGCACATTTAGGATACACACCAGGAAACATTTCTTTACATAAAGATTTATCACCATCTTGAAAATCAAGGAAAATTGGTTGAGGCCCTTTCTCTGGACTCATTTAAGAAACAGCTTGATGCTGCAACAGGAAGATGGTAGGGTGATATTCTAGAAGAAGAAAACCAAATGGGCTGAAAGGCCTTTTTATGCAAATCTCTGTTGTATTCTGTCATGTCATTCGTCATTCTCTGTGTAGCAGATATATGGGGAGAAATACCACCTGGGTCTAGATTTTCACTATTATAGTATGTGACAAAATGTGGAATTCAGTCTTACCTTTGAAGACAGTTCTTGGAAAAACATACAGAAAAACGATTTTGAAAGTAAAACTGTCCTTAAGAATTTACCAAATTCTAAATGATCTAAAATGTGACATAAATGAAGTAAATCTAAACCCAAGAGGTATTTTTCTCTTTCAAGGCGTTACTGTATCTTCATATGATTAAAAGTTTTATGTTGTTATTATGCTTTTAGATATGTTGAAAACAACCAACAGATTTTATAAATTATCACAATACTTAATAGTGATATTTCCTTCCCAAAGCCTGGAACGCATTGTTGCAGGTAAACTTCGGTCATACTTCTCCCTTCTCTCCCTCCTCGAGCCCCTGCAGTCTGGTTTTCGCCCTGCGCAGAGCACAGAGACAGCGCTTGTTAAAGTCCGCAAATTCTATTTGTGACCAGGGATTCCTCTGCCTCCACGTCCTCCTGGATCTCTTTGCCGCATTCAACACAGTCGACCAAACCATCCTCCTCCACCACCTCTCCTCCCTCATCCACTTTAATGGGACCAAACTCGCATGGTTTGAGTCCTACTCCAAATTAAACTTCCTGCAGCTGAAGTTGGATAAGAAGGAAGCCATACTCCTTGGCTCCCATTAATGTCCACTCCTGTGGATAAAAATAAGAACTTGCATTTGATATCGTGCCTTATCGCATCTTCGAGACGTTCAAAGCGCTTCACAGAATATACTGTAAAGTGAATTAATTGTATATTTTGTGGGTGAAACACGACAGCTAATTGTACACAGCAGTGTCCCACAAATAGTCAAGGATTGAGGGACCAAATCATTATTGTTTTTTTCGAGAGATTATTATCAGGAGTGTGGAGTAAGGAAACTTGCCCAAGGTTTCGTCCTGCCGGGAATCAAATTTCGCTTGTGAAATGAGTGCTCTAACCACTGAGCTACAAGACTCCTCAACCTCCCTGGGCTCTCCCTCAGACTCACCGAACCAGTGTGCAATCTAGGCATCCGGTTTGACCCCCAGCTGTCCTTCCTCCCCCACATCCGGTCCCTGACCAAGCCCGTCTTCTTCCACGTCCGCCACATTGCCTGCCTTCCACCGTACCTTACCCCAAATGCAGCCGAAACCCTTGTGTATGCATTTGTCACCTCTCGCCTGGATTACTCAAAAGCACTCCTCGCTGGTCTCCCCAGCTCCACTATTCAAAAAATCCAACTCATTCAGAACTCTGTGTCCCTCATACTGGCCCGGACCAAACTCCATACCCACATCTCACCAGTTCTGGCCGGGTTTCACTGGCTCCCATCACTGAACGAATCGACTTCAAGATCCTAACACTCGTGTTCAAATCCATTCATTCTCTGACACCTCCCTACCTCTCCAACCTCCTCACTCCCCAATCCACCACCCGGCACCTCCGCTCGACTGGCACCGACCTCCTGCTCGTCCCTTGTACCCTCCGCCCCACCGTCGGATGTCGCACTTTTAGCCACTACACCCCGAAATTCTGGAACATTCTCCCTCAGTCACTCCATCTTTCTCCCTCTCTCCCTTCTTTCAAGTCCTGCCTGAAAACCTTCCTCTTCAACCGTGCTTATGGTCATTGTTTCATTCATTGTTTAATTTAAATTCCGTGAATCATTAACTTTAAGTTATCTGCTTTCAGGTAGAAGGAGCATGAAGTGTGAAGGAACTATCAATGCTGCTTGTGCTTGCGATCGACCAGAGATAGATTTTCCAATGAATGTAACTGAACGCTCTTCCAATGTCACTCTAACAGGCTTTTGTGGGGAACCGTGTGTAAACCATGTGCTACAGTCCTTCTCCATCATCATGTACATCTTGTGTCTTCTGTTCAACTTCTTGGTCATCTTTGGAGTCTTTCTTTCAAGACAACTGAAGAAACCAATGTACTTGTTGATGTTAAACCTTGCCATCACTGACCTGGTGGGATGCAGCGCAAATGTGTGCCTGGTCTTTGATATGTTCTTTTCAGGGGAACAGTTTGTGTCAAAGGAGGCCTGCTTCGTTCAAGTGTTCTTTGTGTATTTATTTGGTGGATTGTTGTGCGGAGCCATCACCACGATGGCAGTGGATCGTTTCATTGCCATCTGCCATCCTTTTTCATACCTTCACATCTTCAAGTGGAAAAATATATTGAAAATAATGATGGCGGTGTGGGCTGTATCTCTGGTGATGGCCTTTGTGTATGTGGGACTGTGTGTGAAGATGTTGAGACAGCCTGTGGTTGTTCGGGGCTTGATGTGCGATCACCTTTCTCTCAGCAACGTTGTGCAGGACCGGTTAAACTTTGATTTTATTTACAATGTTTTCATGTCAGTCGGTCTCATTCTAGTCTGCAGTGCTTTACAGTGTTACACGTACCGTCAAATATTTGCCGAAATCAACAAGTCCAATGATCGTGAAATGGCTCAGAGTTCAAAATCTAAATTGGTGAAGCACCTCTTCATACCATTAAGTACATATGTTGTTGGCTTTTCCATGCTCTGCGTCACGATTGTCGACCATTTTGTTTGCCATCCATATGTGATTAACACAAAGGTCATCTTCCAGTTTATTTATTACACTACAGTTCCTGTGCTGAATCCAATCATTTATGGTCTTCATATCACAGAGCTGAGAAAACATCTGTTGCACTTTCTGAACACCCAGATGGTTTCTTTATTCTCATGAAATTGGGATGGATTAAACCATTTTGGAGTCAGTGTTAGGATTTTTAACGTGCATGTGGAGAAAAGTAAAATTCCCCTAGCCGCTGCCAAATATATCCTTTCAAAGACAGTATGGTTTTATTGCTCTTGGATTTCTTTACATGTGAAAACCTTCTTCTTCTCTGAATAATAATTAATAATAATAGGGTGTGGCAAAGGGGATTTGCACACTGTTCTTAAATCTCTGAACTCTGGATCTACTTCCAGTCCAGGCTCATTAGACAAAAGTCTCCTCTCTTAGCCTTTTGTGAATATCCCATTTGAATCTTATTAAATGTCAGGGCAGGCTCAAGGGACTGAATGGCCTACTCCTGCTCCTATTTCTTATGTTCTTATGTTCTTGTGAATTTACTTTGGTTGATCTTAACTCGATTCTTTGCAGTACAGGAACTGGGTTAATTTGATCTAAATTGGCAACCTGACTGAGCAAGACCACAAGAATGACTGTAAAAAATTGTGGTGGTGCAGTACATAGGAACACATAGGAATTTAAGAACAAGAGAATGCCATTTGGCCCATGAAGCCCATTCTACCACAAAGCTCTCTAGGGTACCACGCTGTACCATTTACCTTAATTCCATTCCCTGCCTTCTTGCTGTATCCTATAAATAAAGTTTTGTCACTTTAATCTACGACTGTATCATAGAATCATAGAATCGTACAGTATAAAAAGAGGCCATTCAGCCCATTCGAGTCTGTGCCGGCTCTTTGAAAAGAGCAATGTAATGTCAATAATAATAATAATAATAATAATCCTTGCATTTGATATAGCGCTTTTCACGTCGGGAGGACGTCCCAAAGCGCTTCACAGAATATACTGTAAAGTGAATTGACTGTATATTTGTGGGCGAACGCGGCAGCCAATTGCGCACAGCAATGTCCCACAAACAGTCGTAGATTGAAAATGACCAATTTATTATTGTTTTGGGTTTTTTGGAGGGATTATTATTAGGCGTGTGGAGTAAGGAAACTTGCCCAAGGTTTCGCCCTGCCTGGAATTGAACCCAGGTGTCTTGCTTACAAAGCAAGTGCTCTAACCACTGAGCTACAGGACTCCACACTCCAATCCCACTCCCCAGCCCTTTCCCCATAACCCTGCAAACCCGTCCTCCTCAAATACCCATCCACCGCATTTTTAAAAGTTATTATCGAATCGGCCTCGATCACCCTTTCAGGCAATGCGTTCCAGATTCGAACAACTCGCTGCGTGAAAAAATTTCTTCTCACCTCCCCTCTGCTTCTTTTAGAGACTATTTTAAATCTGTGACCTCGAGTCACCGACACACCCACCAGTGGAAACAGTTTTTCCCTTTCTAACCTATCAAATCCCCTCATGATTTTGAAGACCTCTATTAGGTCTCCTCGTAACCTTCTCTGCTTCAATGAGAATAATCCCAGCCTCTCTAGCCTTTCCTCATAATCAAGGTCCCTCATTCCTCGTACCATCCTCATAAATCTCCTCTGCACCCTTTCCAATGCCATAACATCCTTCCTATAGTGTGGTGCCCAGAACTGGGCGCAGTATTCTAACTGAGGCCTAACCAGTGTATTATATAGGTTAATCATAACCTCCTGACTCTTGTACTCTCTGCCCCTATTTATAAAGCCTCGTATTCCATATGCCCTTTTTACAGCTTTATCTACCTGTCCTGCTACCTTCAAGGATTCATTTACCTGCACCCCAGGTCTCTCTGTTCTTTCATCTCCCGTAAGATTGATTGTATTACCAGCCTATATTGCCTCCCCTCATTCTTTCTACCAAAATGCATTACCTCGCATTTCTTCACATTGAAATTCGTCTGCCATGTGTCTGCCCATTTTACCATTCTGTCTATGTCTTCCTGCAGTTGGATACTATCCTTCTCACTGTTTACCACCCTACCCAACTTTGTGTCCTCCGCAAGTAGGACACTTTTGTGCGCAATTGGCTACCACATTTCACCCACGAATACACAGTCTATCCACTTTACAATATATTCTGTGTAGCATTTTGAGATGTCTCAATGATATTTTAAAGCTTTATATCAAATGCAAAGATTATTATTATTATTTATGTCCTTTCTGAAGTACTCTTCTGAATTGAGAATGTAGAGAGCTTTACTCTCTTTACACTCAAAAACTGACCTGGGTGACCTGAGGCTAACTTACACTGAGGACTGAAAGCAGGGTTCTTTTTCACTGAAGTACACACTAGAACAAAGAATTTAGAGCCTCAAAGTGCAATTTCAGGACTGTCATCGGGGAGTATTTCTTATCCAGAGGTTTATCAATGATTGCACCAGGTCACCAGGAAGTGTAGTTGAGGAAGGGACACTGGATTCATTTTATTTTAAAAATCTTCTTGTTGCTGTAATGGGAAGGCAGTAAGGTGGATGTTCTGGAAGGATGCAATCAAATCGAGTGAAAGGCCCTTCTTCATCCAAACCAATGTGATCTTGTAGGTACTTTAATCTGAGATAACTCACCAAAAATGTAATGACACAAAGAGAAAGTTTAATCACATTATTATTGCAATTTTAAAAAGGTGCATCCAAATGCCACCCCCCGACCCCACACACTTTATATTATATCCTGTGAAGTGCTTTGACATATCCTCTTGATAAGAAAGGCGCAAGGATTAACAGCAACAACAAATTGCATTTATTACAGCGCTTTTCACGTCAGGAAGCAGTCCCAAGGACAGTCGAGGATTTGCACTCGACCTGGGGATTGGATTCGGAAGTTGTATGGGACAAGGAGAGTGGTGGGGGAGTCAGATGTCTGAAGACATAGTTAAAAAGGAAGGTCTTCAGATGGACCTTGAAGGAGTGAGGAACTCCAGGATGGAGTTCCAGAGAGTGAGTGCAGATAGGCTGAAAGCCCGAATGCCGATGGTAAGAGCAGGGGATGTGGAACAGGCCAGAGTTTGCCGAGCGGAGGTAGCTGATGTGTTGGTAGGAAGCATTATATTGTTATTATCCATCATATCAGTGGTTTCATATCTTAAGAACAATGTGTTTAATTTTTAACAATGAAATATGCCTCTCGTCAAAACTAATACAGCAGTTCAGTAAAATATACCGCAATATCCATTATGGTGAGTTCTATAGGATTTATGAAATACAATTTCCTCCTGTGTGATTGAACACTATATACCATTATATGACTCCAGATATCAACTTTAAGTGTTGGGCATATGCTCTGAAAATGAATACACATTTTATTGTAGCATTCATTATAACCTGTTAGAGTAATGAATAATTCTTTGTTAGCAACCTGTTGTCACCATGTACTTAACGAAGGAATAAGTTAATATCTACTGATTGAGATCTTTCCTCTTGGGGAGTAATAATAATGAGTTGCAAATTAAATATCCTTCCTTGCCACTTTTATTAAACGTTTTTGAATTAAAAAAATTTAATTGGAAAATAGATTAGTGTCTTTTTTATATTCTGTCTTTATAAGATCCATTGACAAATAATGACTTCTCATGAGCAAACAAAATGATCTTTCATATCCTTCATGGCAGATGGTTAATGTATAAATGAATTCTAGAAGTATACATGCTAATGGAAATTCATTAATTTTTTAACTTCATAAAAATTCAAACTATGTGTAAATATTTGGCTGTGTTTTCATCCTGGCATCCATAAAAGAATTCTCGGATTTTATGAGCTTTTTACCACCACCACTGGATAAGGAATAGAAAGAGAGAAAAAAAACTATTTCCATGGCACATCCGTCTAAGGCCACTCCTCGCTCCTCCCTTACCCAAACAACAATAGCTTTCCTTCACTGTTGACTCCCACCAGAAGTGTGAGGAGGAGCCAGATGTACAATATTCTGCCATTGTGCTGGGAAGGAGAGTGAGCGACAAACAGAACAGGCAGAAAATCAGGCTGGAAGATCAGGCTGAAGATGAGCAAAAGGGATGATTCTGTAGAAGAGAGACAGATAGATGGGCAGGTAGAGTGAGCAGCAGTAATATTGGAGATTTTCAAGTATTTTAAACCATTTACAAACTGTTTTCTTAGTATATGGACAATGGTCCTATCCCACATCCAGGACTGCTGACCAGGATTGCTTTCCTCCATCTCCGCCACATCGCCCACCTCCAAAATACCTAGGACCTAATGCAACTGAAACCTTATATTTGCCATTTCCGCCTCAATTTTGCCCACGGTGCTGCTCGCCTGTTTCCCGAGTTTCACCTTTCATAAAATCGAACTAATTCAAAACTTTGCCGCCCGTATCTCTACCCATACCAAACTCTGTACCTTCCTCTTTGACCATGCCTACAGTCACCTCCCCTCTCTCCCTGGCTTGGCTGTCAAGCCCCTGTTGAGCTCTCCGAGATGCTACCCCACATGAGGGGTTCTATATGAATGCAAGTTGCTGTTGTTGTTGGCTCTTAGTTGCTTGAAGAGCAGGAACTTGCAACACAGAATGGAGGTCAATATAGGTTTTAAATATTTTGTGCTATGATCTGAATCTCACCTGGAAAAACACTACCAAAAGGATTGCACCCTGTGCTGGCCTGAATTTTAAATAACTTTGCTTAAAGATAAACTTTAAAGCTGTGACATTCATTTGTAGGACACTCCAGTTTTCAAGGTTTCCACTGTAAGAAAATTAATTCACCTTGAATTAAGCACTCAGCTCCACAGATGATTCATGTAGTAAGCCACCGCCTAGTGTGCAAAACATATAGAAGCTCCAGGCACAATGTCTGGTGGGTGCTGAGTTACCTGATCTCACCTGGGGTGTCTGTAAGAGAGCTTTGAAGATGAAATAATCACTGCTAAATCACTGAAGGTGGCAAGTGCGTGTGTGTGAACGCCTGGTGAGTGCGAGATAGAACTTTGATTGTAATCCTAGCCGTGCAGCTGCCAGCACTCACTGTTCAGGCTCACTCACACACGAAGAATGTCCATTTGAGAGATCAATCTTAGTAGTACTATAGAATGTGAGGGCTGAAATCTC